GGTAGGCATTTATAACTGAGTAGAACTTTATTCTTTTTTTTTTTTTTAAGGCACCTCTTTACCACTTCACTATCATACTGTTATAATCTATTGCCTGTTTGGAGGATTCAGACACATTTATTCATCTAGTTCTTTTTCTTTCTGTTACTATTTTTTTGCCCTGAAAAATAAAGCTTTGAAATTGTTGTCCTGTAAAAATTATGGTTGAGATCACCAATGGAATCTTTACATGTTTTCATGATAAAGTCATGATTAATTTATATTTAAATTAATCGGATCACAACTACAAAAGAAGAATCTTATCATGAATTTTCTTTTTTCATGCTACTTCCGGTCTAAATACAAGAATTAGTTAACTAACTTGAATAGATTAAAAAAATAAATTGAATTAATTATTTATAATAAATAGGTGTTATATTTCTTTAAATATTTTTATTAATCAAGTGTATTGACTAGAATTACTATTATTATAAATACCACTTTGAGGGAAAAAAAATATAAATATAAGAGACAAAGTAGATTGGTTCTTATATTTAGGTTCAAAATAACAAATACACGAGAGTTTTATATTAAAGCCGGAGGTAAGTAAATTAGTAAAACTCAAAAATTTTCTGTTTAAGAAAAAAGGAAAAACGCCAAATATTTTTCGTTTTTAAAGATGTCCTTCTCGCTATTTAGTTTTCTGTTAAAATCCAAGCATCTAATCTGTGAACTAATTACAACTTCTAATTGATGAACTGATTTAACTAGTGGAGGTGCATGTAATTTATTGTCATATGTGAGGATTTGGTGGGTGGATGATTAAAAACGAATGAGTATCTCCACGACAATCTCTTAAAATGTGTTGTTTTGAGGGACCTTGGCAATCTCGCAATCACCTGAAAAAAAATATTTTCGCATAAATACAAATAAATCTTTTTATATACTTACCTCAAAAAAATAAGAAAAGTCTGGAACCAGACAATAAAAGAGAGGAGAGATAGGGACAGCGGAAAAATTTCTCACCTGAACGGGATATTTGAGCAACTTTAAAATCATTTTTAAACCTATTTTGTAATAAATTGAGATAAATTGTTCTACATATTTATTTCTCATATTGTAAAAGTATTTTTAAAATCAAAATTTTATTTTTACCTAAATACTTGAAGATCCCAGCCACGCGTAGCTCACCTAGAGGCCATAACAGCATTTTTTAACTGTGTCAGCATTCTCTCCTGCCATAGAGGATGACGGGGGATTAATTTATTCAATCGAAAAAGATAAAGATTAGGAATTGGGTTTTAATCAAGTTAAAAATTAAAAGATTGTGTTTCAACCGAATTAAAAATTGAGAGACTGAGTCGTATCGAATGATGCTTTATTGATTAAATTAAAACTCGAACAACCAAAAAATTAATTTTCTCTTAAATATTTCACTGCTTAGTTTTATCTCCGCTAAGGCGGTGAGTGATGTTTCTTGCTGTTAGTTATAAAATAAAAATATTTGGCAGAAATGTACGTTTGGTATAAACTGCTTGCGAGGAACGGGACAGGAACCGGGTTCGAATTTTTCCTTTGGTTGGGTTTTTTTTTTTTTGAGAAAAATAAGGGGGGAAAACAGAAGAAAAAGACTGCTTTTATTCTATTCCCCACTCAGATTTAAATAATAATTCATGCACAACTTGGAAGTAGCAAGGCAATCTTAAGTCGTCTAAACCACACACCAAATTATTAAATGACAAATGGATAGAGAGGAAGATGGGAGGGATTCCATCTTAGCCAAAAATGTGCACACAAGCATTAAATATTGAATTTTAATGTTTAAAACTGTGTTATTATATTTTAAAGAAATCACACCCACAGCTGTTCCAAACCAGGAAACCACTCAAAGGCGCCTGTTACCAAATCTTAAAACTATGGGCACTTTTGTGGAATGACCAGTATATCCATCCATATTTCGTGAATCCCAAGTCCAAACGCGTCATCTATGATTTATCAAGGTTTGTTTGAAATGGTGATAAAATTATTTTTAAATAAGTTTTTAATTATAATTTACAAGATGTAAAAAAATATGTCAGAAAAATTTTATTTTAAATTATCAGAAATACCTACTGAGCTGTGAGGGTGTCAGGGCGGCAACAAGAAGGATAATTTGGTAAAATAAAAGGGTGAGCCCGGATTGGCACATGAGATGAGCGTCCTGGGTTTAATGATTCCCATGTTGTGTGAGAAGTGAGCACAAGTGATCGAAATATCACTTGTGGGACCCACGTGCTTCTTTGGATAAGCCCTCTCCTCTCTGTCTCTCTTCTCTCACTGTTTCGGATAAAGTCTCAACTTTGTTCTCCTCCCAGCCCCCACTCCCCGCTTCGCACACCAACTCACGATTTTTTCTTCATCATGATTAAAAATCTAAATTTTTTGGCCATTTTTTTTTTGGACTGAAAAGTTTTTTTGCCAACTAAAAATATAAAATCTTAAATGAATGAAACTGCAATCTTCTCTTTCTTGTATTCGTTCATCTCACGATGATGACACATTATATTAAGCTACTCAAACCGTCTTAATATTTTCCTGTATTTCTAAACTACGTTAACACCATCATATCAATATAAAAAAAATCTGCCCAATAATTTTTTTCATTCATATCATCTTTAAAAAAATGTCCATTCACTGCTTCCATTTTGTTCTATTCACTCCCAATATAACATATTCCTTTACACTATTGTATCAACGTCGATGGTATTCTTACCAAAAAAAAAAAAAAGATTATTTGATGTCTGTGTGTTTCATGACTTAACTCCCATAAGTCATAGCCTCATAGGTTTTTATTTAAGTAATTTTTATATTATTATGTAAGAAAAATATTTGAACATTTGCAAAGTATAGTTCTCTCCCTAGACCTATTTATAAGCTTTAAATTTGAGAATCAATATGGTCCATTTTATAAGTTTTAATTTGAAATTTGTCTTAATATTTATGTATTTTATATTTTACTCTTAATTGTTTATTTTTTCTCTTTTATCATACTCTGTCTTTTTATATTTTTTTCATATGTTCCCTTTCATTTTTTTCATTTATTTTAAAAACATATTTAAAAACAAAACTATATTTTTAACTTATTTATTACTCTTTTTAAACTAACATTACTTCAGATCCTAATTATAAAATAATATTTATAGAATATAAATAAGGTTTTATAATTAAAAACAGATATAATAATAAGGGAAAATTGCAATTAAAATCCTGGAATTTGAAAAACACAGATAGAAACCCATGACAGCTTGACTATGGCTTTTGACAATAATAATAATATGTCATGAAATTGTCAAAACCCATAATGAAGTTGTCACGGATCTTTATCTGTGTTTTTCAAATTCCGGGATATTTTTTGTGATTCCCCCAATAATAATTGGTTATTTAAAATAAATGATGAAAGAGTATACACTGGCTACGCGGGGAATGATTGGTCAAGCTGACATGGCACTGCGCTGTTCATTGCACCAAACAACAAGCATGTCCCCCTGATTACTCCCGCCACTGAACCCATGACATGTGAGCTAATCAGAACAAAGGAGCATAATAAATCCAGGATTAGATCTTCTTATGCTTCTGCCCCTCTTCATTTCTCTATTCTAATTATTCTCTTTTTTCAATGATCATATCAGAGGACATACATTAATTCACACGTCCGAAAATTGGTTTTTCATCAACAAAATTTCCCTCACATCATGCTTTTCAAGGGAAAAGATTATAATTTTTCAGAAAATAAAAACTCAAAGCATTTTGCAGATTCACCAAGTTATTTGGAAGTGACTAAAATACAATATTCTTTTTCTCCTGTTTTTCACACAAAAAATATTGACATTAAATTTTTTATATTTATTATGTCAATTTTTAATGTCCCATTTTTAAATTATTAGCATTTAATTACCAAATTTACATGAAATAAAAAAGACACATGACCATGATATAATAAATATAAAGAACTTAACATAAGGCTTTTTTTTTCACACATGAACAATAATAAAACATAGTCCCCCTTGTACCTTGAAAGAAAGGAGAGTTAAATATCTTAAGTAAACCAATTATCATTAATTACTTTATTTCTTCTTTAAAAAAAATCATTCCATCAATTTACCAATCAGCATTGATCTTAATAAAAAAAGATTTTAACTACTTAAATATGAGATCATGAGGTGTTTGGGTAACCCCGTAATCACTTTTCAGAATGTTTTTTCGTAAATCGAGACAAATTCCTCCACATATTTACTTCGCATACTGTAAAAACATTTCTAAAACCACGATTTTGTTCTTATCTAAACACTCTCTAAGTTCAATTCTTATGAATGCAAAAATACTTTTAAAAAAACTACCCCAGTTAAATTCGATAATCATTTTTTTGACTTGAAATTCGATAATCACTAAATCTGACTAAATCAGATGTTTATATGAAAAAATATCATTCTCGCTGATCGAATAAGACCTAGTCTCCACTTTATATCGGATTTACATTGGGTGCTCATCAGTTTGATGAGCACCCAATGCTCATCAGATCTGGACGGTTTAGATTTATTTTTATTTTTTAAAATAATTATTTTAATAGGTATAAAATAAAAAATAAAAATAATCTCTTAACTATCATTTTTAAAAATATAATTTTTTCAATTTTAAAATAATTATTTAATAATATTAAATTTGAACGTCCAGATTTAATTTAAACGGTTAAGATTGCTCATCAGGTGATGAGCATTAGTTGCTCATCACCTGATTAGCACCGAACGGGACCCCTTTGTATCCCTGTAATTGGTCTCAGCACCAACTCAACAAGTGATTATTAAATCAACCCAAGAACTTATCATGTTCGCAGCGTCCAGGGTTTGCAGGGTGGAGATGCGGGTCCCGCGTAGGGCCAGACAGCCATCGCTTCTTTTTGTATATAAATCGCAGACATATCCATATGAGCTGCCCAACCCAACCCCACAGATTTCCCACTTCAAGCAGTTCTGAATCCTGATGTACAGAAAATCGGAGATGTTTCCGGCCACTCGCCTGATTTCCGACGAGATGTACAAAAACGGCGATGTTGCCATGAGTTTTCCCGATACAGTTTTTGCGTTTTGGGAGGATGTCAACTCCTCGTCGAAGAATTCATCTAACTCCGGCGACTTTCTGGATGAAGACAACAAGGAGTACGAGAATTTCGGCACCCTGCAACACAACAAAGCTTACTGGGACGAACAAGACCAGCTCCTCCAGGTACTAAATCAGATCCCAATATTTCATACAAGAGCCACCAAAACTTGATTGACTTTTCCCCACAAGTCAAGTTTACCAATCTCTCATCTCGTCGCTCAGAAAGCTAATTCCTTTTCTTTTCCATCCTTTTTTCAGGCCACTTTATGCAGAACAACCTCAATAGAGTCAAAAATTCGGCAAGCCACAAAGCAGGCTCTAAGAGAATCAAGCGTATCATCGGGTATGCAAACGCAATGCGCTTGCCGGCGACCGGCGATGTCGTACGGATGCCGGAGTTGCCTCCAGAGACAAATATGCGATCGCCTTTTGAACCAGGGCTTCAATTGCTCCATTTGTCAATCTAAATGGAAGAGCTCTTCAGAAATCCCATCAGGTATATCCATGATTCCAATTATAAAAGAGGGAAGGGAAAAAAAAAAAACAAACAAAACTTCCCTGAAGAATTAAATTAAGAAAATTTAATAGTGAAATATTAAATGCTTCTCTGGTAACTATTTCAGGAGAGCACACCTATCTGGAAGTGACTGATAAATCAAGCAGTAAAAGAGGAGAAGTGAGGGTGGTGATAGAGTTAAGTTTTAGAACTGAATTCGAGATGGCACGTGGGAGCGAAGATTACAACAGATTAGTTAGCCGATTGCCGGAAGTATTTGTGGGAAAGGTTGAGAGATTAAGAGTGTTAATTAAGATTTTGTGTTCGGCTGCTAAGAAATGCATGAAGGAGAAGAAAATGCACTTGGCACCGTGGAGAAAGCAGAAGTACATGGAAGCAAAGTGGCTGATCGGAACCTTCGACAGGTCGGCGGTGGCCCTGTCGGTGGCCGGAGACCATGTCCGGCCACTGAAACCCAAGACTTCAATGCTCACCTGTGACTTACTGGAGAACATTCCCGGCATGCGCCGTACTGTAGTTGAGGTTTTGTGAGATGAGAGTTGAGAAGAGGATGAAGGAAAATTTTGCTCCCGCGTGTTGGTCTCATTTCCTCTTTAATACCAGTGAGAAATAAATAAGATTTAATGGGGTGTGTGTGGATATATAGTTACCCAGACTCATTCCTGAGCTAACTTTCACTGGGTTAAAAAAATTCACTCAATACCTTTAAAATTTAATATGACGAGCTCCCAGATTCCTCCTAAACTAACTCTCACCAACCTTATGTTTGAGTCAAAAATATTCACCCCATCCCTTTAAAATTATATGACATTTTTAACTAATTTATACCTTCAACAAGTTGGTTAATGGCCTTTACAATTGCTGGTAAAGAAAAAAAAAAAAAAGACCTTTACAATTATACATTCTTTGTATATTTATCTAATGAACGTTTGAATTCTTTCCAAAAAAAAACGTTCATATTTAATATATGGCAGAATTTTAAATAGAATTGATTTTAAAAAATGATACTTGGGAAAAAAAAATGTCAAAACCTTATTAATTACAATCCTAATTAAAGACATTTTGGGAAAAGGTTTATTGATTACACCTTAAAATACTAAAGAATGCTATAAATTTGTTAACATAATACTATTTCTAACCTTTAATATAAGAGTTAGTTAGTTAATTTAAGTATAAGAAAAAATTTGTTAAGTTAGTTATTTATAACAAATATGTGTTATCTTCTTTAGAATATGTATTAGTTAGAACTAACATTTGATAGAACCTTTAATATAGTAGATTGGAGTCTTATATTTAGAATCAAATTAAATATCAAATTCACTATTGTATTAAGGATTGGAGGTAGTGTTCTAGAAAAAATGTCTTGTGATTTTATAAGGAGGGAGTTTTTTTTTTTTAAAAAAGCTCGCCAATAAAAGTTGACATGAAAAAGGGAGTTTGAATTTATTATTTTTGAAAATTAATTCGATAGATATACTTTTGACAAACTACAAATCAAATGTGTAAAAAATGAAACATACAATTAAGGAGGAAGGGGGGAAAAACCTGGTACCTTCAAACACTAGCAGATTAGCCTGCCTCGTGCTTTTGAGGGGAAAAAAGGTATGGGTGGGTGGGGCTCTGCTCTTGTCTCAGACTCTCAGCTGCCGCTGAAACCTGAAAAATTGAAAAGCTGCAGAGAAGGCCCTGCTTTATTTTGGTACAAAAGACAAAACAAAACTCTAAGCCGTTTGGGTGAAAACCGATCACGGCATACAAAGTAAATACATAAAAATAGTTTTGTGTCAGTTTGTATGCAAAAAGTGTTTCAGGGTTACCAAATATCCTTTAAGATTTGAAAACGAGAAGGCTCTAACTCGTATGTGTTTGTTGGTCTAAGGTAACAGCTCCCCCCCCCCCCCCAAAAAAAAAGCACAAAGATTCTCCGTTTGAAAGTAAATAAGTTTGAAATACTTTCAGATACTAAACATGGATACTTTTCTAAATAAGAATATTGTGAAAGACTAACATCTTCTACTAGACTCAACTTATTAGTGAGGTGACAGGCATTGAATTGATTAATCTGTACATGAAAATAAAAAAATGTCCAATAACCCCCGGCGTGGAGGTATGATCTTCATTTGTCTTCTTATTGTTTTTGTCATTCAGGTACACATTTTATTTTTGTCTACGTGAATCTCTCGTCCGATCCTCTTTTATTTTTGGGAAGACGGATAGATTTCATTTTTGACAATCAGCAGGAAATTGGGCCTAAGTATGGACCGAGTTTGTTGGGCCTACCTTATTCAGGTACACAGCTACATCAGAGGGCTGGGAAGAAAGGAAGAATAAGATTTTAGGATTTAGGGGGTGTTTGGATGAAACCAAATCATGATTTGGAGAATAGCTTCTAAAAAATAGATTTTGTGAAGAAATGATTCTGAGAAGTGAGAGTGTTTGAATAGTTATTATTAGAAGTATTTTTATATATACAAATTACTAAAAAAACACAAGTTAATATGATAATAACATAAAATATAGATTTTATAATATATTTTAATTTGAAGGAATAAAATTATTAATAATATATTTTTTCAACATAATTAATAATACATAAGATATGTAATTAATAATTAATTAATATATGTGTATATATATTATAGATATAAGATTAAATAATTTATAAAAAAATAATTGATGGGTGTTTAAAGTCATATTATTGTTGAGATCTGTGACAATCGTTTTTTAAAACCCATTTAGATCAAAATTTTCAATTTATTCGAACGATTAACCATGATAGAAAAGAAGAAACCTTAAAATTTTTAAAATCTATCATGATTAAAAGAAATAAATTATATTACGAGCCACATCAATCGTTAACTTGGGCCTTGGACTTTCAAAGTCTAGAAAAATTATTTAACGTTAGCCCAAACCAAACTTATACTTTCAAACACACGAACTGATAAAACATTTTAATATAAGTCATAGAGCCCATTAGTCAAAAGTCAACACTATCAAATGAGTGTAATACGCAAAGTCTTAAATATCTCTGGCCCTTCCAATGACCTCCCATATCAGATAGTAGTGATTAAAAGTATTAGTTTACAGCACTAGAGTATATGGGCCTTATGTGGCAATATATAACAAGTCAACACATAAAACAAAAGCAGGGAGGCTATACAAGCTATAACAGCACATTATGTCTCCGGAGCCTTCCCTGATAGGCCATCATCTGAACTATCACCTGAAGATAGTAAAAACCACAGGGTGAGACAAACGCCTCAATAACCAATTTTCCAACTCATCATACATACTAACATGTGCTCGTGAGGTGTCAAGTGGGATAATTATTAAATCTCAATATCTATATACCAATGAAAATACAAATATGTATACTCAAATAATCTCAATCATCCAAACCCTCATTACGGGGGCTAGCACACAAGCCACATAAGTCTATCCCTCACTATAGGGGATCAAACCAACCTATAGGTCTATCCCACACTTTGGGGGACGATTAAGTAGTCACAAAGGTCCATCCCACACTTTGGGGGACGAATAAAAAGTCACAAAGGTCTATCCTTTACTCTAGGAACGAAGGAAGAAGCCAACCAATGTGTACCAATGGCAGCCTTACCACGTGGTAGGATAGCGTTCAATCCAAAATTCAAATAACAACCAACCATTCACAATATAACAAAAATGTCTCAATCTTTTTCAGTATAATCCATAAGATATAAATCATAATCTTTTCCAAACTTCTCAATCACAATTCCAAAAATCTCACAAGACAATTTTCATAGCTCAAAAGATATAATTTATCTACTCGAGTTTCAAATAACAAATCATTATACCAAAATAGCAAAATACTCACAAACAACATATTAGCATATATAACAAGTGGAAAGTGGTTATCTTTCGCCAAAATAATACTAAGGATTATCACAAAATCAATCATTTGTTCAACCAATAATTAATCTACACAATTAATATAACCACGTATTAATATAAATTGATTAATTAATTACACTTCTCTATATTAGTTAAATTTCTAATTTAATTAAATTTTTATTCTAAATTCCTGCAACTCTCATAACCCAAAAATTTTAAGTATTTAGAAACAACTTAAAATTTCTAACAACCCAAATTATTTATTTACCACCTCCAAATTATTTACCTTAATAAAAAGAATTTTCCACAATTTCTAAATATAAAATTATTATGTTCTAAATTCTAAAAATCTCATTTTAAGTTTAAACCTTAAAACTAAACTATCAAAAATTCAATAATACTTCAAGTGTTTATAAATAAATAATCAGATCAAAAACTTTAATGGTATAACTACCACACACACACATATATATTTCCACAAATAATAAACTTTTTAGCTACAATAATTATTTTAAAAACCTCCAGTCACCCAATAAATAAAAAACTGATTAAAATCTTAATAATATGCCAAACAATCCAAATAAATTACTTAACTTGAATTTAATCGGTAAAAATATAATATAAATCATATATAACAGATTTTTCAACTAGAAAAACTAATTTAAATACTAAAAACCAACAAATAGACAAATCTAAACAATTAAAATTAACAACTCATTCACTTCTAAATTTCTATAGTCATCTTTTATTAAAACTCAATACTTAGATCATATATAAGTCTCAAAATTTTCTCTAATCACTATAGTAATAATGTAAATAGGAAGCTTAAAATATACAGGAAATATTTATAAATAAATTTTAATAAAAAGAAGAAATTTTATATACCTAAAATATCTTCAAAACTTGCCATCTGCTTCACCGGTATGCTCCTCTTTCTCACGCACACTCTAATCTCTCTTGCTCTCTTTCCTTCTTGCGCTGGGGAATTGGGTTGTGGGGAGTGTTAAAATAACACTCCCACACATGTATCAGGTCCCCTCGTAATAATCTTCAAACTCCTAACTCCCAACTCCAACTCTCATTTCAACCTTCACCCCTCAATTTCAACATTCATGCTCAACTTTCCACGCTACTCCAAATTTTCCACCTTCACACTTTAACTTTTCACCGAAAGTTGGTGGAAAGTTGACTCTTATATATATATTTTTTAATTAAATTAGATATTACAAGATCTATTTTGACAGACACAATCATAGTCTTTAATTTGAGCCAGAAGCGGAATGAATTTACTATTGAAATCATGGTTTTGGGTTCAAAATCATGGTTTTGACTCCAACAATGATTTCGGATTATACTACAAAATTGATGCTGTTTGAATGACATCCCACTCAAAATCATGATTTTGCAAACCATGGTTTTGGGGGCACTCAAACTAGAATTCTAAAACCATCCAATCATGGAAGAGAAGCGCTTTGCTCGACGCAAAACTCGTCCAACAGCGGCTAGCATGCCGACCGTAGAATTAAGAGTCTAAGCCAATGGCCTTTGTAAAATACTCATTAATTAACAAAATACATTAGAAAAATATTTTCATCTTAGGGGGCCCCGCAAATAGGTATTAAACGGAAGCATTCACTCTCCTCACCGGCCCTTTATTGCGCGGGTCAACAGTATTGATGAATTAGGTAAAGATGTGTGTGGAAACTGGAAAGAGAGGGATTCAAAACTCTCAGTGAACAAAAAACCTACATAGTAGTTCTGATGCTACGTCTTGAATCACTGGCCATCTCTCCTACGTAGCGATTACGTCCCAATGAATAGCGAGTTCTAATAAAAGTTTGAGATTTGAAATTCTACATTAATAAAATGAATTTAATTAAAATTAAAATTAAATAATTCAAATGAAATAATATTAATATTAAAATAATTA